TCTTCCTGTGGCTGGGGAAAATCTTTGCAAAACACGACCCTAACTTTCTCTTCTAGGACGACCCCTCCTTTACACACTATACAAGCTTCCTAAGTTCAACCTCTTCAAAAGAGGCTTCTTGGGCCAGGAAATTCCCAGTTATCAAATACCCCTGTGAACCGCAGAACCACTTAACCGGCAGTATTCCCATACAATAAGGTGTGGGACTACGAGTAATGCTCATATCATTGCCTTTACCCTCCCAGACTCGTCCAGATTTCTGAGATGCAACCTCTCCTACGTAGACAGGGTCCAGCATCGCGATGGGCAAGCGGCGGTGTCACTACGCCCCAAGTTTTCTCTCCGGGCACGACCTCTCACACAACCTACCTACACTCTCACCAAGTTTTTCCAACTTTCCAGTTTTAAAATAGGTAAAAATTCAACGGATGAAAAAATCTCTCTCGCGGCTCAAACGATTTCCCTCGAGGCCAGATACGACCCCCTCCACTTCAGCTATCAAACACACCCCCTCCCATGGAATTCTCCCAGCGATGCTGAACCCTTTGCATAGAGTTGTTCTAACCCTCTCGACCATTTATCCCGGAAATGGGGAGGGCGTGGCTGTAAATTCACCTGAACGTAGCGGTACGGCGTTTTTGAGAATATACTTCAATTTCGAGACAATTGTGATCATTTCCTTGTTGGGCCTAATACAGTATGGAAGTTGTCTCAAATGAAAGTATCCCACAAAAAAAGCGTCCTGCGTCAGTTCAAACGGAGAACACAGCCGCCCCCCCCACTTCCTAGATATGAAGCGTATATGTTGAATTATCTGAGGCCGGAAAGGGGCCAGCCTTACCCTTAGTTTCGCTGTGCTGTGCAATACTGGTCGCAGTCAGAAGTTTGTCCAATACATCTTCGAGTGTGAACGATGACGTCAAGTTCCCACTGGAGCATTCGATAAACCACGTCAGAAGCTTGTTGTTCGGGAAGGCTATAGGTTGCATCTGTGAAATAAGGAAACATGATAATGCTTTCCAGTAATAACTAAAAATCGATGCACAACCTGAAATAAAATAGATAAAGAATTAAGAACCTTGAAATAAGTAATAACATGTCAACAATATCGTAAGCGGGAAGGGTGGGGGACTGATGTTCGCAGCCAGTGTCACTGGTGTCGCATATTCGACTGTCTTATAAAGACTCTCGAGGGTTATGGTAAAACAGATGGCTTGCTTGACAGAATTATTGAAAAAGAAATATAAAACACCTGGGCAAAATATGAAATAAAAGCCGCAGTTCGGCTTGGTGGGGACACTGAACGGTTTTTGCAGGCCACCTTGTGAGGACCTGTAATTCCTGTTACGAGGAGCATATTCGGACTGCACCCAGGGTACAGCATCGTGATCTGTGAAACGGTAGTGGCAGTACACCCCCTCCCCTCTCGGGAGAGGGTCTCGGTACGACCCTTGCTCCCACCTTCCCCAACACCTACCTACCAATTTTCCAGTTTTCACCCAGAGATTTTCCGTCGTCGAGCGGGTTGGGGGGGAGGGGAGGGGCGGGTAAATAGTACACATGAAACAGGAAAAATCACGCGAAAAGTCAACAACCGGGAAAAATTTTTCCCAACGCGCAAATTTCTCTCAAAGCCACATACGACCCCCCCTCTTCCCAACGACGACCAAGTTCCTGTGTTTCACACAACGATGCTGTACCCTGGCTTCACTGGAGTTTTTAATTCTCACTAGAGTGAGTCCTATTATACACCATGAACTAATAAAAGGAAATAGCAGAAGGGCAAGCTGCCCCCTCCAAGCCGGACTGCGCCAAATAAAACAAACAACTAACAATTTCCAAGTCTCGTTTGTCGTCATATATTCAACTGTTTGTACGGCAAGAGTAGAGGCAGGAGATAAACAAAAACGTGAAAAAGGGTCTGCGCCTCCTGGTCTAGGAGCATGTGCGAACGGAAGCTAGTGTCGGCCACCCCCTATTATTTCTCATTTGTTCGATTTCTCACCTTACGATTAGCTAATGCTTTTTTTCAATGATTTTCTCTGCGACTTTTGGGAATTTACATTTCCCCAAAATGCAAAACTATGTCAACATCTGTAATAATAGAACACTTGTTTCCCCACTCTCAAGAAACTCGCCATAGTGAAGCGTCCGTCGATCGTTAAAAGTTGGGCTGAGCCGGGGATCGATCCCGGGACCTCTCGCACCCTAAGCGAGAATCATACCACTAGACCACTCAGCCACGACGTGGCGAAGACGTCGACTCGTAAATGTCGCAATTGATCACGTACGTCGGCACTTTTTCACGCAGCGCAGATTGCCCGTAACAACTGCGCAGATACAATCGAAACATTTGCACTGGTTGGCTATACAAATTAGAGACCACTCCCTGCTCGGGACGATAACCCCCAAAAAACTGTTTCACTAGGTTGACTTCGTAAGTCTATCGTTCGATAATTTTTCGAGAGCGAAATCAATTTCTTCTTCCAGAAGAAAATGTATTTTTGATCTAATTGTCTAGTTGTCTGATTGTTTGTTCGACGGCTGCTACCAACGAAATACTACTACTGAGAAAAGCAAGGGTGAAAACAAAGTTACATTGCTCAGCACCTATCCTTCAAGTACTTAAACTATCTACTAGTCATCTGCGGCAATGGTTACCTTTTTCACAAAAATGTCGACCCAGTTATCGAAGAGGTGCTCCGAAATGATACACCATTATGTTTTTATCGTTGATATTCTTTTATCATAGCTAATTTTTACATTTGGTACTTGAACCATTTCGGATAGAACTACTGAAACTGACTTGAAATCCCAGAGACACCAAAATTTTCAGCTCAAAAGAAACCTTCTGCGTAATCAATCCTTCTGGAATGCGCCATGCATTTCACTTTCACTCAGCTCGTGGTCGTATTTTTACACCCTCATTTTACATTTAAACTTTTTATTTTGTCCGTTTTTTATTCCGTGGATGCATTGTAAAGAAAGAAAATTCTGGGCGCTATTCGGTGTGTAAGGGGAAGGGGGTGGGGGGGGGCAATTAGCTAGTTGCTCTTGCTAGTTGATCTTTACTGACAGGTCTCATTTTGGTAAGACCTGTAAGTTCTTCTGGAGCTGCGCAATTTTGTAACTTTGGTTACAGTAATTCACAGACTTCGCAAATTGGCATGTTTCACTGAGTACTGCCCCATCCCCCCTAAGCCGAACTCTACCGAATATAGAATACAACTTGGAAGAGGGGGGGGAGGCGGCTAATGTACGAATGAGTTTCTGTTACTCTTCCAGACTTATCTTGTACGAGGAAAGAAGTTACCTCGGGAGGAGTGAATAACTCGGTTGTTCCGAGCGGGAATCGAGCCAGAACATGACCCTAATGGCATGCACGTGGTAAGCCGATTCTCACCACTAAACCACCTCTGCCCTAGCCTATCATTTTGGCCTCCGAAAGTTGAATCTCAATTTGCTTCAAATAATACTATGAAAGATTGGAAAACTGATGTTATGCATATTATCTTAAATAATATAGTGTAGATAATATAATGCATGTTGTCGAGTAATGGAAGTAGGTACCTGAGTAATAATGTACATTCCTGGTTCATTTGCTTTGGAGAGCGTGTCTCCTGTGCAAGTGTAGTTGCTCACAGTTACGTCTTCAATCTGCAAAACAGGCTTATCAGTTTGGTGTCTGCTCTTTAAAATCTATGGGTGAAGGTGTTTCAGGCAAATGCATTCGTCTGAGTTCTGTAGTCAAGAAGAAGGCTATTTGAGCAATAAGCCAGCGGTCATAGCTACATCTCCTCCCACCCCAGAGCTGTCTTGTTAGTTTACATTTCCATGTGCTATGGCACAAGCTACACAACGGCTAACACTAATCCAGCCCTTACTATGCCTCTAGAGCAAGCGCAGAGCGCGGAAGTCAGATAACGTCTATTCAGGTGAATAAAATACCCATGGGTACAGATTTCCACAGAAAATTTCCGCTCTCGGGAACAAGTTTCGATTTTCGAAATAGCCGGAATTTCGAAAAGGCGTAAGGAGGAAAATTGTGAGGGGAAAATTGTGCCGATTCCTCGACTGAATGAGCTGCATGTTTTTCAGTGAATCGTGGCAGACCAAATGGGGAACATCATGGAGGTATGAAAAATTGTTCACCATCGCACCCCACCTCCTAAAGTCCCTTAAGCGGGTGGGGATGGGGTAGAAACCAGGTGTCAGGTTACCGATCAACTACCAGGAATAGTATTAAGTAAAATGATCAGTTTTCAATGTGTGGGAGTCAGCGTACATACAGGGGGGGGGCAAGAAAAGTCACTTTTCTCCATTGACTTTCGAGGCGCTATTCACTTTTCTCCATTGGCTTTCGAGCACTATTAGTTACACTTATTGATCGGACATTTTTTACCACCATAATAAAGAGCATTATAAATACTATCATATCCGCCACAGCCTTCCGACGGGCCGCCATCGAGAATTCTTGGCACGCGACGCGAGTGTGGCGGCCTCTATCAGCTTACTGGTGGTGGTGTGGTGTGTGTGTGCAATTCTTTGTTTCTGATACCTTTCCCTGTCCGTTTTATTGTAAATTGCGGGGGTTGGACACTCCTTTTCGTCCGATCGCCTGAGATCAGCGAGATAGTCGATTTCTCCGCCACCGTAGACCACCCTATTGAACTCCGCCCGAACCGGGTAATTGAGGGATTCAGGTCAGGTGACCTACTTGGATATTCCATCTTCTTTAGGTACTCAGCCCCCTTCCATTCCAAGTAGGCGAGTGTTTCTCCAACGCCCTTCGATTTCATGTGGTGGCACTCAATGCTGTAGCAGTACAAAGTTTCCAAGAAGGTACGGGCGACCACATGTGAGGAGGATATTCTTCACGAGTTGCCCAATGTAACCGCCAGCGCTCACCTTCAGTCCGAGTCACGAAGATAGTGGTCTTTGCATTCCAAGTACGCCCGGTCCCTACCTAATGGCGCCTTGGCGACTGTGGTGGCAGATTGATCGTCCTGCGACCGTTGGCGACTTGTCGAGCTGCTCGATGTTGGAGTGTCATAAATACTCGAGAGTACTGCCGCTCTCAGGTAGTACCATGGGTGACTGCATACTAGAAGTTTCACAGCTGTTTGGAGGTGACATGAATTCCAAAGGTCTTCTCCAGTCAGGCTGCGACTGGAGATGACTTCATATTTTGGTGTACATGAAGGTTGTATGAGCAGAGAGCCAGGTCCTGCTTACAGAGGAACATCTTGTGTATCTTCCGCCCTGGTACTCGTATCCACGCCTCGCAGCGAAAACTTTGCTGATATGTGACTCGGTCGAAGTGACTTTTTTTGCCTCCCCCCCCTTCCGCCTGTAGAATTTAATCACAGGTCACGACGCAGATTTTCCTACACCCTTCTCCCTTCCTCAGGCAAAAAAAATACGACCTCCCCCCCCTTGTGCATTCCACAACGACGTTGTAAATACACTGGGATCACAACTTACCACTATCTTCTTGATGCTACTGCATGTTATTTCGGTGGCAACTTCAGTTTTGAGATTAAGATTCTGTATGACGAGTACGTTAGACAAATGGGCCTTATCATCGGCCAGGACAGCTGTGACGAGCAGAAGAAACAGCAGGAGGGCGACGCATCTGAATCAATTGCTAATTAAGAAAGCCAGCACTATTTCATAATCAATGGTGAACGATGCTAATTTTTGAGAAGAACGCTGGCACAACATCCGATAACAAAACAGTGATCGATACTGATAAGATTCCCTTCTTTGCTGTACCACTCAGCTGAGCTCAGACTTGAAACGACTAACCGCAAGTGCAGTACGTAAACAGTAAAAAGCATCAGAAGCTCAAGAATGATAAAAACAGGCGAGTAACCTAGCTTAAGCCTGAGAGCTGAATCATTCCACAAAGAAGCCACTTCCTGCCGTCTGCCCCTGCTGGGGAAATTTTTGGAATATACGACCGCTCCCAAAGTCTCTCCTCTAGTACTACTTCTCTTTCCCATCCCACCTACCATCTTGCTGACTTTGACAACCTCCTACCACTTTTTTACGCTTTCCAAAAAAATTTCCATTTTTTCTCCAAAAAACTAGCACGGGCGCGGAGGATCGAGTCCAAAAAACTATTTTTGACTATCGAAAATAGCAGTTGTCTAGTAGGTCTAGTAGCTCCACCAGTTGAAGGGGAGGGGTCAACAAGCAAACAAGTAATATCAGGCCAAGAATAACCAATTCCCTCCCTTCAGCGATAAAATACGATCCCCACAAGGGATTCCCAACCCGCGACGTATCTTGTACACGAAACTGACGGGCCACTGGAGTGTAGCCACTGGTAGGCACATTGCAGTACTTCACAAAACTGACAGTATACCCAAATGTTACAGTGATTTTTGGCGCCTCCTGGTTCTTCTCTCTTAGAAATTGAGACACCCATCGACTTTTCATGAATTTTAGTACCGTATATAGTCTTCTTCGATGTACTACTATTAGAAGTGGTTCTTACAATTAGTTTTATCGATCTCCCTCTCAGAAGTGTACGCTATAGCGAGCATCACTAGGGAGTGACTATCGCGCGGTCGCGACGCTGTCCTAGGAAGCGCTGTCGCTACACAATCTGGGAGATGCAGTCGCAACAGTGTTTAACTCTTAGAAAAAGAAAGCGATTTTTGAAATGATTGTAGCGATAATTTGATGTTTTCCGCTATATCGAAAAAAATAGCCTCTGCATATATGCATATTATAAAGACACTCCCACAGCCACGCGACCGCGTTGCGCCTATTTGCGCCGCCCCTTCCAATACGCTATGGCGCACCAATGAGAGACCGTCTAACTTATCCCTAATTTTCAGATGGATGTACGCATGGCGGATATGTGATCACACCCGTGATCTCCTCGACTGGAATACGTTCGCACAAGCGGCGCTTTTGAATGCGGACGCTGAATTAGGTGAGTTTCCTCGGGCGTTATTTGTTACTCTATAACTTATCTTCTACTGATTACTCAATGTATAATGGGCGCATAATGGCGCCAAATGACGCCAGCGCTCAAAACGGATGTGATATTCGTGATCAGCGCATCGAATTACATCTATAGGCAACGTTTCAGCGAAAAATTTTTTGAGTTTTTGGGGTAGGAATAGTTCAATAGTGCCGACTACTCTTGTAAATGCTCTCTGACATGTGGATGAGCTCAGAACGGTCTACTGTACTTGCGTCAGCTCAAAGCAGCTGAATTCACCACAGTTGAGCAACTTGCACGCCTAGAAGCTGTCTCTCAGACGGTAGAAAAGACCAGCATTCCAGACAGCTTGACTACGATTCATCATTTGTTTTTATGATCTTACAAGTCAACGAGAGCGTTTGATGTTTTCCCCTTCCTTTACTGCTGAGCACAGGGATGACTACTTGCTCAGTTTCCGACTTAAGGGCAGTTGGCACGATAAATCCGTAAGACGAGTAGGATCAATACGCTTCGCAGAA